TTGTCAACAAACAACCTGTGTGGGAAATGTACAGACCACTGAAATGGTTGTCAAAAAACAACCTGTGTGGGAAATGTACAGATCACTAAAATGGTTGTCAACAAACAACCTGTGTGGGAAATGTACAGACCACTGAAATGGTTGTCAACAAACAACCTGTGTGGAAAATGTACAGATCACTAAAATGGTTGTCAACAAACAACCTGTGTGGGAAATGTACAGACCACTAAAATGGTTGTCAACAAAAAACCTGTGTGGGAAATTTACAGATCACTGAAATGGGTGTCAACAAACAACCTGTGTGGGAAATGTAAAGATCACTGAAATGGTTGTCAACAAACAACCTGTATGGGAAATGTACAGACCACTGAAATTGGCACCTTTATTTGTTGACATTCATTTCAGTAGTCCATCAATTTCCACAAACGTTTGTTGACAGCCATTTCAGTGGTTTGTACATTTACCACACAGGTTGTGTGTTGGCACCCATTTCAGTGGTTTGTACATTTACCACACAGGTTGTGTGTTGACAGCCATTTCAGTGGTTTGTAAATTTCCCACACAGGTTGTTTGTTGACATCCATTTCATTGGTTTGTACATTTACCACACAAGTTGTTTGTTGACACCCATTTCAGTAGTCTGTACATTTACCACACAAATTGTTTGTTGACACCCTCACCAATTTTCTGTAACAAATGGTATAACTTAGGTTCTTACATCTAATCATACATACATGCAATGTTCAAGCTGAGTGTTATAGACAAGTCATTAATCCATTAGTACTCAGTTCCACAGACTGTGATAACCATTAATCCATACAAGCAAATTAAAAAAGGTGGTTCTAGAGTTGGTGATGGGTACTACCATCAGTTGCCTTCTCCCTAGTCACAGTTCAGAATTAGTGACAGTATTGCTTTTTTACACGTTTTGCACTAGTACAGAACTGCATATCTATAGCATTATTAATCACTGAATATCAAAGTCCAATTCTTCCAGCATTGTCACGAAACTGTAGCATAGCTACACGCCACCTAAATAGATATGTAAATCAGCTTTAAATACGCTGTTGTACCTGTACATAGTTGGCAAATTTGTTGGTGAGAGAGAACGTTTGCGAGATGGTATATCTATCGCAATTGACACCAATTTTTTATACAATATCCCGTATGTGTGATACACGATATATCGTAAGCTGATACCTTTCTAGTATATATATATATACACACACAATTAAACTGTTTAAATAGAAAGTTTAAGCTGAGAAATGCATTATATAACCTTTATAATTGCAATGAATACATGGTTCCTCGTTGAACTGTTAAACACTTGGCTTTGACTCGTGCAATCTGGGAATTGATCTAACAGCTTCACATTACTCTAACCTGTACGTATACATTGCACTAAACCTAATCTTAAAGATACCGTTTTGTTTTTGTAGAATATCAGTAGCTTGGATGATAAAACACACGCATTACGTGATGACTTCGTGATTAAAAATGGAAAAAAAAAAAGAGAAGAAGTTAAAGTAGAATAAATATCTACACGATGTATAAGAGGCCACCCAAATGTGTACAACACATAACAATAGCGATAATACATTCGGTACCTTACAACACTACATTACATACCCACTGTATAGTTACCTACACAGCAAACAAACCCTCCTCATACTGACAACTATATATATAATATATATATAGAGAGAGAACTATACAAGATTCACTTTTTCCATAAACAAAACCAATATTTATATACATAGATATCGGTTTGTGACGTCGTTAACAAAGTAAGCTGTCTAGGTGTGCTTTGTTAATATTTACATTCACACGTATTTTAAACCGTTTGGAAATTTCTCAATTTCAACATTCGTCCGTTTCATCGCATAGTTTACTTACGTGCAGAATATCGTACGCTCGTGAGGAGAGGGCTACAAGTCTCGCTTCATCCGCGAAATAAATGTTTGTCACTATCACTGAAGTGACCCGAATTTATTTTATTTTTTATTTCAGTATCTGTCACTATAAAGGACGACACGTAGTTCTCAGGGGATTGTCTTCAATCCAATTATTCTTTAGATAGACACGAACACTACATATGCGTTAAAGGCATACTTCCCGGTCCCACGCCGTCACTGTGATGCGGATAATGACTTTGCATTTGAAGTCTCTGGACATTGGGGTCGCTGGCATCACCCGGTAGATACATGCTGATCATGTCACGGAGGTCGGGGGCACACCCGGGTCGTCTCCCGGTCGCTGCTGCTACGGCGGATGCAGTCATGGCCGAAGGTGGGGTATGGGGTCCAGGACCTGGGCTGGGACTGTGTTCCGTCTTGATGGGGCCTGAGACCGACATGGGACTAGTGCTCTGCATGGGTGAATAGGACGACATGGGCAAAGAGTAACCAGAATTACCGTTCATATACGGCATGGACATGTTAGCCCCTGTTGTCATGGGGTTGGGCATCTGAGTCATATCGTACCGTGGATAAAGTCCACCACTGGCTGCCATCTGGGTTCCGTATCCGGCTGCTGCCGCATGGTGCTGGTAGGCTTCGTGCATCATAGTGGGGTAACCGTTGGGCATGTAGCCGTTCATTTGGTACATCTCACGGTTAACCTGTTGCACCGCTACTGCTTGGTTTCGGACGTCTGTCGGTAGCAGCCCACTCGCCAAGGGGTACTTCTCTTTTTTCATTATGTTTTTAGTCTTCCTGCGAGGCCGATACTTGTAGTCGGGATGATCTTTCATGTGCAAGGCCCGCAAACGCTTAGCTTCATCGATAAAAGGTCGTTTTTCGGCTTCTGATAGTAGCTTCCATTCGGCGCCTAATCTTTTGCTGATTTCAGAATTGTGCATTTTGGGGTTTTCTTGAGCCATCTTTCTACGTTGACCACGTGACCAAACCATGAAGGCGTTCATCGGTCGCTTGACCCGGTCAACATCTTTCTTGTTGTTACTTCCAGATGTTGAATTGTTACCCATATCACTACTATCTGATGCTCCCGATGTTGAAACATGATGACCCTGATGAGAGGTCGTGGTTGCACAACTGATCATCGAAAGCGTATGGCCGGGTGAATGATGGGACAGACCTCCAGCCATTTTCATTTCAGAAACTTCAAGTCCATGGCCCATAGAAGCACCCGAAGTAGGTGCCCCAAACGGGTGGTAGACAGCATACTCTCTCTCTAGCGTGGCCAGGGTGGCAGCGTTGGCAGGGCTGGCGAGGGACTGGGACTGGCCGCTGCTGCTGCACAGCTGGCACGGACAGGCACTGCTGGGCCGAATGATGGAGGCCTCCGTGGTTACGGATCCACAGGTAGGACTAGATCAGGTAGTTTGCGGCAGGCTTCCCTCCCTCAGTCACGAATGGACATGACGGCAATCTGTTGATCAGCTTGAGTTCCCGCCAGAAAGGTTGTATGTAGAGAGGTTCACTTTCACACAGCCTGAAGCCGAGCTCTTTCAAGTGCCACCACACGGCTGTATTGGTCGAAGACAGGGCTTTATTTGGTCTCTTACAGAACAAAGTTCTGTCAACAAGAGGAGCACCTCAATTCTGGCCGTCTAGCGTGTTCAAGCACTTCTCTTTCTATGAGTAAAGCTTTGCCCGGAGTCCATGCGTTATTGATTGACAATGGCCCCGGCGCACGGGGCTAGTAGCCAATCAGCGCGCTATCGCCAAACTTGGCTTCATATCTACCCATTTGACGAGGTACCGAAGTGACGTAGACTGCCTGTAGTAACTTAGACACGGAGGCGGGGTCTTTTCCGGCCTGGTAATACATGAGCGAAGTGAAGGGACCTTACCCGTGTCTACCTGAAGAAAAGCACGAGCTAATTTACTTGAAACCTTTTGGTAGGAACTCGTGTAACAGTGTAACATAATTTACTTGTTTAATAAAGACTTTGAAACAGTATTAAACTAAACACATTACCCAGCTCGAAAAGAAAACACACAACACAATCTAGTGTAGAGAGTAAATAATTAATTATTTTCATATTGATTTAGATATTTTACAGCTTCTGAAGTGTATGTGCATTGCACCCAAAATAGCTTGTTTTGTATGTCAATAGAAAGCACGTGAATCACGGAGAAACTATATATATAATAAGAACCATTTCTGCCATAAACAACTTTAATTATTTTAAAACCGGTAATCTTGTCCCATTGTTGATCCACAGCAGTAAATGTATATAGTGTTGTACAACATAAGAAATAAATCTCCTCGGTCAGATTTTTACCATTTAAAACAAACACCAAAATCTTGATTTGCTCAAATTACTGGATATAAATTTCTATCGTTTCTTGATCAACTAGGTATACCTCTAAAAGATCGTTTAAACGTTAAAAACAACAAGACTGACAAAGTGTTCCACAAATCTATACGTATTTCTAATGTGTACTGATGCTAAATACAATAACAATTAACAGTAGTATATATATATTTGTATTACAATAACGTTTTCAATTAATTTAATCAACACAAATGTGAGTGAGAACTTTCGTTGTTCCCCTTTATGTACATTGTTTGTCCTCTATTTTCTTAAAATTACTCCAATAGCTATGAACTACAATCTTTCTTCACAGCGCCTATTCAATTCATTTGCTTTTAAAACTGGTTATATAGAAAAATCTTGCGAGAGAAAACGACACCCGAGCTATTAGTTCTTGTGGATTCTGACAAAGCGAAACGGCTGCGCAAGCGTCAGTGCTGGCATCTATTGGAGCGACGAGGCAGCAGAGTCTGGACTCGTGGCCACGCCTCAAGCAAGCGTTTACATATGAGTCAAGCTCGAACGACACGGTTAGGAAGGAAGAACTGTCAGACAGTAAGTATAAAGTAATATTTTAGCAAGATATAAGAAAAATATCAATAAATATATTTAAAATATTTAACAATATAGGATAAAGATATATTTACCTTACAGTCTAAATTCAGAAATCACATTTAGTTTAAGCATACACGCTGTTGAAGTTTGAAAATAGAAACCTTCTTTCTATTTTGCTAAAGATAGACAGAGTAATTTATCTTCCTTCATGTTGAAACAAAAACAAAAAAACTGTCTGTGTTAAGCGAGGATGAACAGAGTTCTATGTCAGACGTTATTCTTAGTAATTCATCACAGTAATAGAAACAACAGATAGTGTTAAGTTAATCGAAATACACTATCGTTACCAAAGTTTCGGACTTAATGTATAATCTATATTTTCAAAGTGGTTACACACTCTTTTTTTTCCGTCTCGACAAAATATTAAATACGAAAATGTTCTGATTAACTCTAAATGCATACATAAAGTGGTGTGATCTATTAGATTCGGGCTCTGCTTATAAAAGACTAACTTCGACTATACTATATATCAGTGTGCTGTTGACCAAAATT